GAAGAAAGAGTAGAAGCAACCATCAACTAACTGACTATGCAGTGAAAACTATTGGTTGCACATAAATACATAACACTTATTTTCTGAAATTACAAATGGTTGAAATGAGATTAGAACCCTTTCCTATCTGGACATGAGATTTTTTAATAGACTCAATTTATGCAATCGAGTTGATGCAGTAGATACAACAACAACAAGGGAACCAAGGGAAACAATGATGACAATAATGAGGATCAAATACGATTTCAGGATGGGGATTGTTTGGTACTCTGTCAGTTTTCATATTTAGCTGTGATTTTTTTATCACCACCAGGCTTAGTGACGTCGTTAAAAGTAATTCCAGTGGGAAGTCAGCTATGTTTACAAGTTTCACAAATATTAGAATATCTCCAGTAGTTGGTTTGTAAGGATTAGATTTGTTTTGACGAGTTGATCACGGATTGATATCAGTTTGAGAACCATTGAAAACCAACCAGGGAGTACTGGACAGCTGTTTCATCCCATTTTGGGAATCATCGGCAGTACGCACACACTGGGGTTCCAGCCCAGGACATTCCGGTTACAAGGTGAGCTCGCATACCATTCAGCCGCTGGGACCCGATTCAATAGCCCATGAGTTCTAACTTTTAACGATTCGTGATTTAGCGCGGCCACCAACCAATGTCATCCGATGGGAAATCCATCCTCACACTTGACTGGATGGACCTCATTGGTCACAACTTCTCACTAGCATTCCAAGAAACTCCGTCCTGTAGAAAGTCACTAGCGAACATTAGATATCGTCCTTCGGTTTGAAGCGTATCAAATTGTAATTAAAGGGAGAGATTTGGTTACGTCAAAAAAACTGAAGTTAAAGTAAGTAAATTGGTAAGATAGCCACTATAATAATATGTTGTGACTATCGTAGGGATAAGTGGTCAGTTGTTGCATTTAAGTGAAGACAGCCAGAGCAGAAAGAGATTACACAAAATTTTTTAAGGGAGAAACCTTTCTTTTTTCTAGTATATTCCACTGGTTTATGATGAATGTGAAAAACGAACTCATAAAGGGAAAATAAAATTAGAAATACAATACATTACTTTAAAGGCAATCTGAATTTCAGTTGTTCTGTTTCAACAAGATATGACAGAAGAGACCTACTAATCGAATTGTTTTTCTTTTGCGAAACAATGCAGGATGCTAGATTAACATGAAGTAGGTGGAATTATGCTGCGTCGGTGGTATAGCGGTTAGGACGCTCGCCAACCCATGCACATGATCCGGAGTTCGATCCCCAGCCGACGCACTCCTTTACCTCGCTAAACCAGAAATATTGCTGGTAAAGAGGAAAGGTTGGGCATGAGGCTAGCGACCCCATCCTGTAAAATAAACACTACTACAGAAACTTCAAGCCGCTAGCTTGAAGCCCTATGTTCCACTGGGGAACGTGAAGGAAAAAAGGCGGAATTATGCAGTTTATGCTTAATTTTTGAACACAGTGACAAATGAATTGTCCACCATAACTCAAAGCTCTTTTAACAGCATTTTTAAAAGATGAGAAATATTACGGTTGTGTTCTTTCACGATGGTAAAATTTACTGACGAACTTACATCACTAATTTTTTGTTCAACGTAGCCATCATTTCATTCTCATTTTTAGAATTAAGAATGTGTCATCCATAGAAAAACAATGAAATTCCGATTCACATTGATGACACCTTTCAAAAATTCATATCTTTTATTGAAAATTAAAAACAATTCGTCATAGTGTCATCGCATTTCATCATGAATCCCTCAGTTGACTGTTGTTTGGTTGGTTGATAAAGAAGTGGATTTTATGCTTTTTGAGTAGTCTACCAACTGATGTTTGTTATATCTTTGACCGACTACTCAGTGACCACTTTTTCAATTTAACTTAGAAATAATCTTTTACAATTAATGAGAAGCGGGGATGAAGGATTATAAAAGCAGTTAGTGCATTATGTTAATGAGGCTCTCAAACAAAGAAGTTAGACTGGTTCACTCTGCTGTCTGCTTGGTGGTGACTACCAATACAACAGAGGAAGCATGTCCCACCCTATTTTGGACTCGTCAGTTGAGATGTACATGCATTGTAATGAGGCTGGAACTCAGCACACATAGCAATAGACCAATAACTTCCAAATCCTAAATAGAGTTCTACTGCTAGCCACTATCAAACAAATATCAGAAAGCAAGCATATGGTTTAATAATAATAATAGTCTCACTCTAAACGTGTAGAAAACTATGTCAAACTCTTTGGACAACCAAGTAATTACTATAATTAGAGTTTCATTTAAATCCTTAAGAGATGCAACAAGCCGCTGATTTTAACTCTTAGATTTCTATGCAGACGGTTTATTATTAGTCGACAAGATACTGATATGTGGACTGGTGGTGAAGCAGTCCGAGTACACTGATTTTCGAAGTGCATAGTCTTTGTGCTTGTGAGGGTTACTAAACGGTACAATATCTTGCACAAATACTCTCTCAAAACTACTGGACTTTTTGCCTTTACTTGATTTATTGGTTTAGAAAAAAATCCAATAAAATTCCAGCATTTTTACTAGGATCGGCTACTTAGACATTACTTTTATATGATTGTGGACAATAAATTGATGATATTAGATGGTTGGAGGCAATCGACAGGATGCCTTGAATCTAGATTTCGTGCTTGTTGGCACCCATCAGCGAGGCGTATCTGTAATATTGCAGGGACCCATATCCCTTCTAAGATTCAAACCCATATCACCCAGTCGTGCAGTCGGAGACCAACTTGCAAACTTGACTGATAGAAATCAATCTGTACTAGACAAACGACTACACGCATACTATTAGTAACTACCCGGTGTCTAATCAAAGTATGCAATCAGTTCGGCAAGAGGAAATCCATAATCTCATCGACCGGTTTACTTCTTAAAATACTGCTTACTCGGCCATATCCTTTAATATAAAAAGCGTTTTGTAGAAATATTTGATCGAAAGACTGTTTTTTTTTCGTGTTTTGCAAGCTGAACAATCATCAGTCACAACGATGAAGACAACTCTAATGTTAAATGCCTCAGAATTTAGATTTTTACTGAGAGTGAGATGTTTTAACTTAGTTATTAGATTACATTGATAGTTCCAAAGCTTCTGAAAGTTTTAATCACTTACAACGAGATCCCTCTACCCCGTTTACTTGCAAAGAAGTCAATTTAAGGCTGCATAAATTGAAACTTTTTTATTATTGATATAAATATTATTATTCTTTTTCAAAAGACGCCTAATGATAAATCACCAATTAGTCCCTATAACATACAAAAAGGAGATTTATTCCGTTTTCAAAGCGAAAGTCTATTTCTCCAGGATTCTGTAACATGAACTGAATACTGGACAACTAACTGATGCATTCAGGGAGAGAGAAATAGACAAAAAGGTAGTTCGATTGGTAGATAAAATGTTATGCTAGAATTCGGCTGCATACTTCTCTTATGCAACTGATCCTACGAAGAGGAGATAGATAACAACTAATAATCATTTTTACGTATTTTGTTAATTGTGTCCATATGTTTAGTGGATAAAATTAATAAAGAGAAAATAAATAATAAGAGAAGAAGGTTTAAGAGAAGTGGTACAGTTATACTTCCCTTTAGTAGGTAAGTTTATAGGGTATGAAATCGCTAAAATTAAGATAAGGATTCATTAAACGAGAGTAAATTCGTAACATAATTATTTTGCGACGAACTATAGTGTTGATTTTACATAAGGTACAGAAATAAATAATTACACTAAAACAAGTCTTGAAGAATTTAGTTATTGAGAATTTATACGTTTTACACCTTGTGGGTTGCTAAAAGTATTTCGATCATTATCATTCCTTTCCAAATACAACAACTCCGATAATAAATTCAAGCTTAGTGTAACCACACTTGGGTACTGAATTTGTTTAATTCCTTTTGTGCTTCGAGTGGAACATGGGCTTCAAGCTTCACCTCTGAAGTTTCAGTAGCTGTGATGCTTTTACGGGAGGGGTTGCTAGCCCCACGCTCAACCTTCCCTCTTTTTCGGGGTTACAACTGGCTAACGGAGGTAGAAAGGTGTCCACAGGCCGGAAATCGGACCCTGGACCACATACATGGTTAGCGACCATTCTACCGCTGAACCATCGATCCGCCAAGGGGATTACGAACTGCTTACTAATAATATTTATCCGATAGGAAAAGTAGAGATTGTCAATCTATAAAGAAGCACATTGTGTTAAGTTAAAATCTGTTGGTTTAAAATTAAAGGGAATTAATTACTTGTCAGCACAATGAGCAGCAAAGTATTGTTAGAGAGGCTGCAGATTATAATCATTGTTGGTTAAAATAATAGTAAGATTGGCAGAAAGTCAGGGGTGGATACACCCTGCCATGGAAACAATATACTGTTGGGTTGTTTCTCTCAGCTATGTGGTAAATTGTGGGGTACCAGAACAAAATTATAGAGATATGCATAGTCAGTAATAGTTATCTGGACGTGTCGGTCTTATATAGAGGTTTCGGAAATCTCAATCAAGCTTCATCAAGTTATTCTACATTTTAATATTATTTTCTCATCATAATTCCATTCTATAATTCTTTGCTATCATGAAGTTATTTAAAACCCTACTTGGCAGTATTTATATGCTGTTTGCCTACCACAAAGCTTTGGGAAAGTCGTAAACTTCCTGACTGATTGACTACAGCAGTTAACAATTTTAGTTGATAACTAGTAGCAATGCTAACTGTACAACACTATACTCCTATCTTCAAAAGTAATTTTAAGATAGTGAAGCAGTTTCTTAAAATCTCTTGTGATGGTCTACAATATTTTATCCTTCATTTTGCACCGACAATTTGTATTATATTTCTGCGAATATGGAAAGAATTAGAATGCTACAGTTGCCATACAAAACTCGACCTTTTTATTTTCTGTTTGGTTTAGGTAGCAAATGAAATATGAGTAATAAATACACTGTGCATAAAACTAAAACTCTTACCCAAATCATCTATTCGAAATCCAAATTCATCAAAGTACCGTTTAACCAGTTTCGGGGCGTTAGATTCTGATGAATTTTGATCATCTATTTGTCTATATATACATGACGGTTTCAGTGAAGGTACAAGAGCTGAAAACGATGCGATTTCGCTTAATTCTTTCCTCAGGATCGGCATGTTTGATGAATTCTCATCTGAATCCCCTCGATTTTGTTGATTCCCAACCCTTATTGATTGGCCATTTAATTCAAGACCTTCACAGTGTAGCTTATTTTTTGATTCGTCATAAACTGAAGCGGTAAGACGGTTTTCTGAAATTAAAACGTAAGCTTCGAATAAATGTGATACCTCTTGAACCATGTTTGAGACATAAGAAATAGTTACTAATACGTTGATAGAATAGAATTTGACTTTTCATTAATATAGTGTGATGAACCTTATAACCTTACCAACGAACTTAACAGTTGATATGAATCATTATATTCGAAAATCTAAAAATCTTCACAATTAATGCAACATATATTGACTATGAAGACTGCGCACAGTATAACACAAAGAAGACTTCTAGGAGGTAATGGGACCTTTCGCTAGAGTCATAGTAAAATTCAGTTAGGGCTAATAAAAGCTTTCAGCACACAAGTGGTTGACATAAACAAACGGTGGCCTTATCGTACATACTAGGATGGAACGGATATCCAATGCCAACTCATCCTTAGTAATTCTCCAACTGATGTCGATTCCTGACGAAATCTACCTTGCAGTCAATCGGATTTCTGCATCTAACTTTTGTCCAAAAAATCTAACCATAAAGCTTATGTTTGTTTAAACAGGTAAGAATAAAATTCTCGAGTGTAATTTTTTTATTAGGTTAAATGATTAAGGTAACCATTACAGTCCTTTATAAAGTGGATTTCGGGCCCGAATAGATTTGTGGTAACACTTCTCACTGAAGAAATGGGTGACGCGAGTTTGGGTTTCAAAAGGTCCTTCAAGGTTAAGAGTATGTTTTGCTAATGAGTGCCGGCAGACATGGAAACCAGGTGAATAGCTTCCTACCAATTGCCTCTAACCACCTGTCACCAAAGATTATATTTACCGCAACAGCTCAGTTTCTGTCTGTCTGTCTGTTCACGACATAGAACTTTGCACGTATGTGCGGAAGTTCAAGTCTCCACACTCGATGTAGCACACAAAGCAAGAGAAGAAACTACAAGAAAGGCATAATAGACACAGTAAACAGAGGTGTGAGACAAAGGAATAGTAGTAACGAAGAGCAAAACAGTTTCATTGGAAATCATAGGTCACAGGGAGTGAATGCATCTGCGCCACTGAGAACGATTTCGAGCCATGTCACCAATTGTTTCCAACCATTTGTTTTTACCTACGTGGCTTAGACTAACTGTTGTGGATTTCGTTGACTGGTGCCATGTTTTCGTTTGACCTGCACTAGCTCTTTTCCAGCCTGACCCTGTATCCGCTAACATTGCTCGTCGAGGAAGGCGATGACTAGGCATACGTAACACATGTCCTAACCATCTCAGTCTTTGTAACTTCACAACTTCGTCGATTGATTTCCCCTGTTTACCTAGAACTCGACGCCTAACCTCAATATTGCTCACCTTATTATGCCAATTCACACGGGAGATAGAACGCAGGCACCTATGATCAAAGACAGTTAGCTAGTCTTTTCATGTCTTCCACTCTCAGTGGCCAGGTCTCACTCACAGTGATAAAGGAGGACGGAGCGGACTGATGAGCAGTACACCCGCCCTCTGGTCGATAGTCGAACATCTCGTCTACGCCAGAGACGGCGTAAACTGGCAAATGCGGAACGAGCCCTCTGTATCCGTGCCGAGATTTCGTCAGAGATCAACCTGTTGGCACTGGCTGATGGTACTTCCCAAATAAGTGAAGCGGTCAACGTGCTCTACCACTTCATTCCTTATTTCTAATCTAGGAGTCGGTGTAGTCCAGTCCTGTAACATCATCTTGCATTTGGTGGGAGCGAATCGCATGACAAACATTTGTAGATTGACGTTCAAGGTGTCTAGAAGACTGCATTTTTTCAGCGTCCCCGCCTAGAAGGACTATATCGTCTGCATATTCTAAGTCAACGAGATTATTCCCTGGTAGCAAGTCAACCCCTGAGTCGCTGAAGTCACTTAGGGTTAAGTCCATTAGCACATATACGATGAAGTTGAATAGAAAAGGGGATAATGGGCAATCTTGACGGACACCACTAGTCGTCACCACTTCAGATGACAACTCGCCGTAAGCCCTCACCTGGCTGTATGAGTACGAGTAGAGTGCCTTAATCAGTGGAATGCATTTTCTCGGCATTCCCTTTACAGCCAAGCATCTCCAGAGGATCTCTCGGTCGATAGAATCGAATTCCGCCTTTAGGTCAAGGAATATAGTGATTGTTGGGCGCCGGTAAACAGCTCAGTTTACTTCCGAGTGTTACAATTCGATTTGATTATTGTTAGCTTACAATCACCTGAGTTTTGCATCAACAAAAATCGCATTTTTTTATATTTGAGCCGCGTAAAGAGGTGCAGACTACCTACGTGGTTGGATTCCTGGGTGTGCTAAGAACTAATGCCTGGAGGTTTTTGACGATTTAGCTCAAAATCGTTCTTAATGGCGTAGACGCACCTACCCTTTATAGTCTCCAAGATCCGTTAGGTTATGTTATTTAGTTTCATTATTCTATCTCCCATACATTTCTACTCACCGTATTTTTTTTGAATCTCTTTTCTTCGTTTCTCTATGTTGCATGGTATGTGAAGTGCTGCAATTTTGTGCGTTCTATGTTCAAAGTCATTCTTATATGAGCTAGAAGAGCTACAACGGTTATAGCAAATTTGCGATGAGGAAGACAATTTCTTTCAGCTGAATTATTTTTTGTTTTACTCATTACTTGGTCGGTATTTTTAGTGTAAAAACTTCATGCTTTACACAGCAATGTCTCCTGATAAATCCAATTACAAGTCTTAAGAGTTATCGGAAAACATCAACTGATATCAGGATTTAATAGACGAACAGTTGATATGTCTACAAAATATTGATGGAACTCCTATTTAACAAAGTACGCCATCTTCATTATTGTATGCTAGCTTACAATTAATTTGAACTGTACGGAGACGAATAACTAGTGTCTAAAAAGCCAATAATTGATTGTAGTTTAATTGACTACAATATCTATTTTCTGAACAACAGACATTATAAACACTGTAAACTAGTAGGGCAGCTGATTTCCAAAATAGCATCTTGACTACCACAAAGCATTGAACACATCTACTAAACTGGCATAGAAACAAAGTGAGTGCATCAATAATTAAAACCATAATTATCCCGAATAAAGCCCCAAAGTGTTATCCTGTCGAATTCATTAATTCATGTTATTAATTTTACTGACAATATGTGACTAGTATAGATGTCTACTGAAACACCTGATCTTGACAAAAAGTCAGGTCTTTTCATTTAATCCTGAGTAAAAAAAATTGTACTGAACATATCCCTGATAAGAAATTTATTTAGCTTCTACGAATGTTTAGAAACTGGTCACCATGGTGATAAGACAAACCCGTAAAACTGCGGTGAAAACTCCCCAATAACACTACTGGAGATCAGAACTTATGAAATAAGCAACCAGTGGTAGCAACCTCAGTAGACGCCTCTGAGAAACTGAGTCTGAGCAAATAATTGCTGTAGATCTTTTCGACTGCAAAAACTTTTTGAGTAATACTTTGTGAGGTTGATTCCGAAATATCCAGGTATCATACAAAATTGTAAATTAGTTACATCGGTGCAGTGCTATGCATATCGACTCAAGGAGTATTATGGTAGAATAACATAACAGCATTGTTCATGGCTGAGTGCTGAAAAATCCAAACACAGACTTTGAAAAATCGAGTGAAAATACAGTGAAAAGTTCCCTGAGACGAGTTATTTAAAATCAAAACATCAACGGTACAAAATGGTTTTAAACATATCGGAAAACAACCCTAAGAAATTTTGAAGGTTCGAGTCTCAGAAGGAAGACTTTATTAAGATCTAATCATTAAATCCAGGGTATGTTATTACTTACCACCGTTTCGCATATAGCCCTCATCTTCGCTGGGCATTAAGTCGGGCCGATCGACCTTTAGTGACCTTAGACACTTAATATGCCCTTAAACTCAAGCGAATCGTAAATTGCTACGCTTAAACAATCAAAGATACGAACATATGAAAAATCAACAGATTAGTTGTAAAAGCAAATATCAGGTTTCGAAATTCTAATAGCTTTTTGTTAATAAGCCATAAACTTAGATTAATGGGGATTAACTAGGTGTTCGCAACGTTATAGTAAAAGCCAATCAAAACTACTTTTAATCATTGAAAGGTATCTTGAACTGGAGCTCTGTGATGCAGGAAAACGCTATAAATAAAATGCTCTTCAAAACGATTGTACGATGGAGATTCAGATTTACTGGCTTGGAGTCTATGTTAATCCTTTTCTAGTCAATTTATGTGTTTGTCCGAACTATTCGTGACTAAGTCACTTGATGTTGCTGACACCACTCATTCTAAGAGTTAGTTCCAGTAGTTTATGAGTCGGTGTGACAACCAGTACTCCACAGCAATATAATTTCTCCTTGGCTTCTGACTCTTCTGCTATGTCCTCTGAGGTGTTCCCACCTGGTGTGAAGGAGAAGAGAGACTAAGTCAGGTCCGTAGTCATTATGTAAACTTTTAAACAATGTGATTAAATCTCCTCTCTGTCCACGGTATGATGGGGAGCGGAGATTTAAACTGTTTAGTCTTTTCTTGTATGATAGATTAGTAATGCCACAAATCGTACGTTTTGCCTTCCTTTGAAAGCTTTCTAGAATATGTGAGTCCCCTTTGAGACAAGAACTGGATTCAGTTTTCTCGTCTTGAACTCACCAGAGAGATATATAAGGAGGTGAACACATCTCTGGTGATTCTAGTAAAGCCTCTGCGAATCAAGCATATGGATTTGAAACCAAGTGCAGCCACTGTGCGACAGTGTGCTGTAGTTTCTAAACGTGGCTAACTATGATACCTAAATCCAAATGAGTATGGACCGATGGGAGTTTTATTTCCTCTAGTTCATAGGAGCTGATGGTTGATTGTCGGATTCTCGTGGTTGCACATTTTGCTGCATTGATCGAGAGCATCTATTCTACGTAACACTCTGACAATTGGTTCAGGTTCTCTTGCAACGGGAACGTTCCACTGTTGCCCTCTCCAAATTTTTAAGTCATCCCCGTACAGGACCATAGGGAGATCGGTGAGCAGAAATAACTCAGTGATAAACAAAATAAATGGGAGAGGTCCAAGTACCGTGCCTTTTGGCACTCCGCCACGTACTGCTGTCCAAGACGAGAGTTTTGAGTTGATTTATATTTTAAGTAAATCAGATGCAATATTGTGACAAGTGCTGAGAGTTCCATTCTGTATTATGAGTACTGTTTTTGGAACAAAGTAAATTATTATTATTGATCCTAACCCTCTGCCTCCTACCTATGAGGAATTCCCAAGTCCAGTTTAGTAGGCTTCCTTTGATACCAAGACTTTTCGACTTCATGAGTAGTCTTTTGTGCGGAAATTTATCGAAGGCTTTGATGAAGTCTATGAAGACGACGTCAATGAGTCTTCCGTTGTCCCTTGATTTGACCGAGCTTTCTCTTGCATTCGGAAGATTTGACGAACATGAGGGGTTTCCTCGTGGGACACGCTGTGCTCTGGATAGCGAAATTATTGCTTTCAAGACATGCAATGGTACTTTTATGAATGATTATTTCCACTGTTTTGATTAAAGTGCTGGTGAGACTAGTAGACCAGTAATTTGAAAGGTCTTATCTTGATCCTTCTTCGTGGATGAGGGTTACTATGGAGTATTTCAAGCCACGTGGTAACGCTCAATTTAGGAGAGACAGCTTGAAGATCGGAGACGTTTTGTGGTGTTTTCGGATCCACTGTGTTTACTTGTTTTCATAACTTGTTGTTATGCAAAATTTTTTTAATTTTTCGTCGTGCTTACTTCTGAAGTTCTTTCGAGTCTTCTACATCCGTTAATGAATTGATTGATGTTAAAGACAGAAGATGAGTCGTATACCCTGGGAAGGCTATTGCTGAGAATGCAATGCACACGGAGATAAGGATTAGCTGTGGAATCAATCATTGAGAATGAATGTTTCTATTTAGGCTGTGGTCCCACACGCCGGGGAGCGAAAGTGTAGACGAATGAGGCTTGCATACGTCGCCGCTACTAGAACTGAGGCAGAATGAGTGACAGGCGATTGCAGTGATAATTGGTAGTGAGTAGATACGATGACGTGCGTGGAGTATCTTGAGGTGGTGCTATGGTCACGTTGCATTCTGCAAGAGTCATTCTAGCAAGTGGCGATTGTGTTGCAAGAGGATGTGTCAAGAGGATGCCTTTAACTGGAAGGCGTAGGTCGTCGTCGATGAGTGAGGTTGTTCTGTGGATATGATAGAGAAGATTTGTAGCTCACGTGGATGATTTTGATGTGGTTTTGTTCTCTGAGCTGGATGGTTAATTTGCGAAGTTTTCATCACTCTACTGGGTGACATCTTCAGCGCATACTTCAATTTGAAGTGAGTTTTTAGATTTCTCCACGAGTTTATTAATCATCTCTCCTAGTGACCTTGGACATGATTGGTTGTTTATGTTCACATCTTCTAGGTTACTTGTATTGGAACTGACTGTTTCTTTGACTTGAACTTTGGCTCTTTGTGTGTGAAGTTTCTTTCTTATTGGTTGATAAATTTTGTCTATCTCTATGTGTCTATTGATTGTTGATTCACTGGAATGCCAAGCTTCTAAAAATTCTCTAGCATTCTTGTTGTTTCCTCTGTCTAATATTTGAACGTTGTCCCAGTCGACTTGATGTCCGTGGTTGTCTGTGTGTACACTACACACAAGTTTGCCAGTCTATTGCATCTCACCCATAGCATAGAGCAGTCTGAGGGTAAAACGCAATCATCGATGACGAATAGGCCTCAGAGAGGTGGATATCGAGAAGGCTCCATGATGTCTAGTAATGCACATAGACCTAGTGAGTGTAACGGGTTTCGTAGTACATCCTCAACAGATAAGTTACAAGATGCAAGACAAACACGGTTGTGTTATACACGTTTGCAAGAGGTGCATACAAAGGTGAACTGTGAACCAGTCAGCAAGTTCAGTGATAAGCTAAATGATACACTTGTATAGTTTTGTCAGCATTTTCGCTGTAACATCCCTAGTGAATTGTACTCAATGCAGAATAATGATAATGATAGTTTATATTTTCTTATAAACGGGTATTTTCAAGAGTGGCATGCTGCTTTTACAGACACGATCGGTTATGTTATAAATTGCAATCGTGAAGTATTATAAATTAATACTTTTTCATTGGCATAAGAGTATATTCCACAACTTTAATCCAGGTTGCGTCATGGGGGAACGTAATGCGTAATTCACGAAGGAATTGTAATATATGGAACCAATAATGTTTGCAGATCATTTGTCATTGTAAATGGTCAAATATCCACATACTTCAATCCCATTCAAAAAGTCATATGGAAGCTAAAGTGGTGGGACAAAAAGGAAGACAAAAGACAGCCACGCAAAAGAAACCAAGAGGAGTCCTCAAGGAGTGATTAAGAAATATATACATATATATATATATATACTAGACGCATCACACTACTTACTAGTGTCAAATCAAAATGTACACATATATATTCTGTTTAGTTACTATGGTTATTTTTGTGCACTAAATAACTAGCCACGTTATGCTAACTTTTATATTATGTGTAAACTAATATTATTACTGTCCTGTGTAGAAATGTTTATCATCTGGTTCGAATAATATTAAAATTTATAACTGTAGTTTGTTGTAACTACACGTTTAAAGAACTTAAAATATCTATGTAGGGTGAAAAAGAAGGTGTAAGAGTCAGACGTGGAAGTTCATTGTCATCTTTGAGCTGTCTGGTGACTAGGGAGATGAACACTGGAAGTGTGTTTGCATAGCGCACATTAGCTGATAGTCTATTCCAAATCACTGAAAACTTATTTAAGAAGAAGTCGTACCGCACGTAAGTCTGACAGTGCTCTATAGCAGCTAGGTTGTGATGATTTCTAAGATTGTAACTGATGACAGTGTTAGGGTTAGTTATTGGCTCGGAGGAATGCAAGAGAAGATCAGTTAGCTTATAGTAAAAGATAAGGTTTAGCTTAAGACGTCTTTTCCAGAGTGGTTCTAATCTTAGTCTGTCGCATCGCTCATGGTATTCCGGACCACTTTGTAAACCAAGAGTTCTTGAGGCAAACTGCCGTTGCACTCCCTCTAATTTAAGCTTGTCATTTTGTCTGAGTCTGCTAAGAATAAACGGGCAGTATTCTAAGACAGGTCGGACACATACTTTGTATAATAAAACCCTAGCTTCACAACAAAAGGAATTGCGTGTTATGCATCCTATCAGCCTTCGTGTTTTACGTCTGGCATAATATAATATATATATTCTCATATAAACATATAAATTTACATGAAAATGCATGCCATTTTACAGGCACGATCAAGTCTGTCAATGGAGTTGGAGATTGAACGATCAATTCTTGGTTGTTTGCTTGAAATCAACTTCCCCGATTTTCGCGGAGGCATCAATACGACAGTCATCGTCTCATCGGTCACTGTTCAGAAAGAAGAGTGAAACATCGTCAGAAACCTTAGTTTACTTAGTTCAGTTATTTCTTTTATATGTTGGTGTAACAATAAACAAATAACAAGCGGCAGATCGGTGTTTTGGTTTTTTCGTCCGTTATAACTAAGCGTTTCTGAAAACTCAAAGGAACAGCGTGGGCCCGAGCGTAGCGAGAGCTAGGCATTAACGGTTTATGAGACGTGATTGACACAGTCTGTTCAGCGAACGTTAGGTTACTAAAGTATCTAATACCGAGATCTACGACTGAGTTGAGCTTAGCTAGTTTTCGCCCATTTATTTCAAGAGTTAGATCAAGGTTACTGTTTCCGATACAAATCCAGCCGCATTTCTCAATGTCAAAATTTAGACAGGATTCAGCACACCATGTTGCAAGACTAATTAG